TTTATTTTGTAAATTCATTCGAAAATCAAATTCAAAGGCTTTTGGAACCAAATAAATTTTGGAAAACTTTTTAGAATATTTATGAATTTTGGAAACTAAAATTTGAACTTGTTTCAAATAAAATTTTAAATACTTTATATATTTTATAAATAGAGCAAAGTCGAGTCGAACCTAAAACGTATTTAATAAATTATTTTTCACTCAATAAAAATTATGCAAGAGGCATGAATGCAACGTCCCATAAAATTAAATTTTAATCATTATTTAAAATTCACATTTTTCACAATTAAATTATAAAGTGCATAATTAAATCTTGGAAAATTTTAGGAAAGTTATAAAACTTTTTAATTTATTTAGTATTTTCTATTCACAACCCAAAATAGAAAATTTGGGGTGTGACAAAATACAGTGTAGCTGGTGGCGAATGAAGGAAGCCGTATCATCTACTTAGTTGATGTATTTGTCTATTTACGTTTTCCGGTTTATTACACTGTCATGTGGGCCCAGGTGGCCAGAGTCGGTAAGCGCACATAAGTGCCGCACTCGTACCCTGTTGGACATTCAGACATTGTATCGCAATCAGAATCGCCAAGGCTGAGGGGTTAACCTCGCCGGCGTCCTCATTCCGTACCATTCACTCGTGCTCACGTCGATTGCCCATTGCTTTAAGCTAAACCCTCCGGCAATGATGATTTTTTTTACCATTTGTCACTGCTGGAATGAGCCTGTCCACTACTGGAGCAGTTCCGTTCTGGCGTAGTGAAATGTAGAAATTTGAATGACCGAACACTTCAATATAAATTTTAAGACTAAGGATAGTTTAGCCAGAAACCTTTGAAAGCGACGTGAGAAGCAAAACAATGAGGTTTAGTTTCCTCTAAAATTCCTTTGAATTTGCCCAACTCATATATAAGAATCTGAAATGAATTGCGAAAAAAATATTCCTTTGTTCCAAACGATCTCATTGGAACTTTTCTACAGTATGTATATGACTTGAATCTTCCAAAATTTCTATGTTTCTCTCTATTCCAAAAGGAGCCCTGGTCTGTTTAAACCATCTAATGTTTAATTCATTGTTTAGACCCTAAATTGGACACTGAACTGCTATGCCTAAACTGTACGCTGCAGATACGCTACGTCTAGACGTGTTTAGACGAACAATGATGGTAGCAGATTTGGAAAAATGACCAAGGAACATATATGTCACATGTGGGACAAGGCTCGAGGATTGATTGGTGGATTATATTCCTTGGAAAACCTTTGAGGAATTTCGCACACACTTGATGCTGCGACTACAACCACAGCAAGGTACAAGACTCCGTGTAAGTCTTACAAAGTGTAAAAAAATCCTGCAACGCCAAGCCAATTAGGAGATTATGGTTCCTAAATTAATTAGCATCATATGAGCCGAGGTTATACAATATTGGCATTCCCATTATACACAACACCACCAGGTGAACTTTTGCATCTTCAGTCTTGCAATAGCCTTCTTCAGGTTCTATTGCTGAGCCCAAACATGGAGAAATGCAACATATATATAGCTCAGGCTATACAATATTGACACATGCAGACTCAGACTGCCGTGCAGGGCTCTTTCTCCACATGCTCAATTATGTACATAGCCTGTTTGTTGTTTAAACTGAGCAATACTTGAGACCTTGTTCAAAATATTATATGTACCCTCATACTTGTATACGCAAGGCTTTTCATGTCTGCTGATTCGCCTTGTTTCCAGTATGGATGAGAGAGATCTCAATGCCATGTGTGACCAAAATGTTGATATGAAGGGGATCCTTGCATGAGTATCAATCATGTTCTTGCCATGGACCATGACAAGAACATGATTGGTGACAGGGTGGTCACCTATTTATGTGTCATACATGGCCACTGCCAGTTAAAAAAAATTAGTCTGCCCCACCATGTGCCTAATAACCACATCCAATTAGAAAGGCGTAGATACTGTGATGAGTTGCGACAACCTCAAACCACTAACCTGAAAAGTAAATAAGTAAATAGTAGAAAAATCCAGAAGTAATCAAAACTGCAGCACAAATGATCATCAGAAAAACATCCCAACTCAGAGTGTCAGATAGATTAATTTTCAAATCATATTCATAATGTTTCAACCACAAGCAAAAAGGGTTTTCTAGGTCAGCTTAAGACTAGGATTTCCATTTTTCATCTTTCAGTTTGCAGGACAGTTTTTATAATGATTCAAATTCAATAGTGAGAATAATGTTACTCTGCAACCTGTGTAAAGTGAACTTTTACATAATGTAAACCCATGGTAGAATTGAGAAATTCTGAAGTCATATCATATACAGTGAGCAGATTACTGAGAGAAACTACAAATCAAGATTGGAACCAATTAAAATAATGCATTACAACCACATACAATTATTCAAATGACAAATAATCTCAGAATCTTGCAAACAGAAAAGTAGGAACCTCAAGTGATTACGTTCTGTATAATCATGTTTCTCATATGCACCACACAACTCACTTCTAACAAAACTACTAGATTCTTCAGGAAAATATGCATGATTAGCTTACATGCTTTCTATTAGCAGTGCATGAGATGGGACTCACATTGTGGAAGATGTAGCAAAGAATCTCTGTAAGAAAGCGTAATTATGTTACTTGCTCAAAACTGCAGTTCTCCTAAGGCAATTATAGTAGCAGAATAGACAGGTAATAGGCTTCTAAATTTGTCTGCAGAGCAACTAATAAACAAATGACAGTAGCATTATGTTAAAACTAAGTATAACATACATAAGATTTATTTCCAATGACAGTATGACGCAATGGTGGTAACCTCTAGAGAGGTAAAAAAATTAGGAGGTGAAGTTAGGCATAACTGTTTCCATTGAATTAACAGAAAGAGTAGGCAAAAGATGATTGCATGGGCAGAAGGAAAATTTGGACTGAGCATTAATAAGCCTCTCATTAACACCTGGTAAGTACGATGGCGTGCATCTAAGTTAACACCAATATTGTTTAAACAACTTGGCGTAGCGATGGTACCACAAATTAATTATATTCAGCTCGATCTGATGAACCATGATTTGGACACGAAAGTTGGAAATAGTGCACTGAAGAAGAGACTACGCTTGAAAAGTACACTGAAGAAGGGACTGAAGGGAGACAAAAGTAATCAGTATGTGTGGTGAATTAGTGATATGCATGGTGAGAGCGAGAATACCTTAACCATGGATGCTGAACCTGTCCTGAATTGTTGAACCCCTGTCCCCTTGCTGCTGGGATCCAGATGCTTGTTCAGAAACTGCAGAGCAACCAGAATCATCACAAGGATATCAGAGTAGCAGGCATAATAAACATAGGTTATTTTATTTACTGAAATAGTTTTTTTTTAAAGGCAAGATTGAATTGTGCCGGGGCTTATTGCTCTAGTTCGTTTCTTGTTATTGTTGTGGTGGAAGAAATGAACCGCCCTGATAACAAAGCGGCTATGTTTGCTAGACTGCATTGACTGGAGGAGAATACTGAAACCAGGAACAGTTTTGTCAGCAGAAGCTGTCATAACGCATTCGGCGATGGCTGCCGACACGGGAATGGTACGGAAGGAAACAACCAGTACATCTGAGTGCAGTATTGAGTCAGACTCTACCCGTTGCTCATCAGGGCTGACAAGAGGTTGGCGTCTCAAATGAGCAGCTCGCCAATCCCAGGCAGAGGCGCAGAGCGCCGTCAAATTAGCTGCGAACAGGGCGGGTTGAGGATGAGTGAAGGAGCGCGAAGAGAGCGTGAGGAGCGACATACGGATGCGCGCGACGTCGGGGTCATCGTCGGCCTGGAGGATGCGGTGGATGCGCTGGCCGAGCCGGAGGCGGCGGCGGCGGCGGTTGAACGCCGGCGGAGACGCAGTTTGTGGGCCGGCCTGTTTTGGATCCCAGCCTAGTACGATTCAGAACGGTGGGCCGCAGCTGGGCCTGTTTATCTTCCTTATCTTTTATTAGCCCAGCGCATACACGCATTCACGCATGGTATACAAAATTATAGTTCATTTGGTTTGATTTAATTAGTTTTTGTTTTTCTAAAAAGAATAGTTTGGTTTTGTGATAGTTTAGTGCTACTGGTATACAAATAATATGCAGTAAATTTTGTGACCTCTCATCATGCATGCATGTACCCGTGTTATTAGGATGTAATAATATGTTTTCTTTTTAATTTCGAACAACAAAGAGTCGTCACCAAGCCAATTGATCGTCTTCTTACACACCTAATTACAGTACCAGATATATTATCATACAGGACTATATTATTATTACCGTACCAGAAATATTATTATATACAGGTGTATATTTTTTATCACAGGAACACCGTACCAGCAACACGTATTTTCGTATTAAAAAAGCAAGGGAAATACAAAAAAAGAGAGGTACACGTATCTGTATTTAAAAAAGCGAAGGGAAAATACAAAAAGCAGAGATACACCTTGGGCAACTCACACACAGAAGCAACTAATTAAGTGGCAAAGTAGCTAGTGCCTAGTAATAGTGGCGGTTGGCCGCCGGAGCGTGCTGATGCAGCGGTCCAGCCGTCGTCGGCGGCGGCACCGTGGTGGCTGCCGGTGCTGGTGCGGGGACAGCAGCAGTAGTCGTAGTAGCTGCTGCTGCTCCTGTTCCCACGACGCCGGCGCCGGTGCCGGTGCCGTAGCCGTAGTGGTGAGTGTGACCGTGGTCGTGATGGAGCTTGTGCGCGATGGCCTCCTCCGGCCCGGTGGTACACAGCCGAGGAGGGGCTCCAGCAGGGACAGATTCAGATACAATTTTCAGTCCGGCGGTGCAAGTTGAGCGAATAGCAAGCTGAGCACTGCAGGCACATTGTTTAAGCATATATAGAGCATGCCATGTACTAGGAGTAATAATATATATATATATATATATATATATATATAATTTCTTTCCTTCTGCTTGTCTTATTTTTGCACAGACGACAGGGGACAACAATGGCCCGGCCCATAATTTTCGGCTAGTAGCCTAGTAATCTTCCGAGACTCTGGTGATCTTGGCCAAGCAGTTGTCCACCGGCCTCGGGTGCGGCAGGTACCTCACCCGGCACCTTGGGTTCGTCCTCGTCAGCCTGCATGCGATGCCATCATCAGCTTCGATTCGTTCTTAAAAAAGCAGAGACAACACTTGCAGTGTCCATCTTGTTCTTATAGCTTGCATTGGTAAACTCTGAGACGATGCAGCTTTACTTACTTGTAGCCCAGGAGGAAGTGGTGGAGGAAGACGGAGATCTCGAGCTTGGCGAGGTCGTTGCCGGGGCAGAGCCTGGCGCCGAGCCCGAACGCCAGGAACGTGCCGGCTCTCGGCGAGTGGCCCTCCCATCTTGACGGGTTGAACTTGGTGGGGTCAGGGTACACCTGGGGGTCCATGTGCACGCTCCGGTACCATAGCTGCACCTTCCACCCCTTGGGGATCAGGTACCCTGTTTCGTCGATTCAGGGTTCAGAGTTCAGAGTTCAGACACAAGTGAAGTGAAGTGATCAGATCACTTCTGAAAGAAGAATATGCAGGTGAGGTTTCTGAATGAAGTGCACCGTACCGTTCACGGAGACGTCTTTCGTGGCCTGACGGAAGGAGACGAAGGAGATGTTGACGAGCCGCAGCGTCTCATCGATCACCTTCATCAGATATTCAGATAGATAGATGTACACACACAGAGTTCATCATCAGTCAGTCAGTCAGTTCATATGTATGATTTTGCTGCATGCTTGGTTGCATTTGCATTGCAAGCATCGTCAGAGAATGGATCGGAGCAGACCTGTGAGAGGTACTCCATCTTCCTGAAGTCCCTGAGCGTGAGCCCCTGCTGCGACGCCGGGATGCTCCTCATGATCGCCTCCTGCTCCGCCTGGGACGAAATTTGAACAAGCATCAACCAACGGAATCTGATCTCTGCAACTGTGATTTCGCTGACAAAAAAAGATCGAGTCTTTTCAGGGTTCAGACCCTACGTACGCACCTTTGCCTTTGCGAAGATGTCCGGGTTCTCCTGCAGGAACACGGTGGCCCACATGGTGATGTGGCCGGACGACTCGTGCCCGGCGTTGAGGTACATGATGAGCACGTCGATGATCGCGTCGTCGTCCAGCCGCCGCCCGCGCTCGTCCGCCGCCCCGATCAGCCGGTCCATCATGTCCACGCCGCCAGAACCCGACACCACCACCCCCTTGGCCTTGGCGGCGCGCCGCTCGTCCAGCACGCCCTGAAGCACGGCCACGAGCCCCCGGCGCGCGCGCAGCGCCCTGCGGTACGCGAACCCGGGCAGGTTGATGGCCATGGCGCGCATCCCGTAGTTGAGGTCCGTGTAGCTCCGCTCCAGCGCGCGCGTCGTCGCCTCGTCCGCGCCGCCCAGGAAGATCTGCAGGATGATCTTGAACGTCATCCGCCGCAGCTCCGTTAGGAACTCGATACCCCTCCCGGAAGACGATTCGTCGGCCCACGCGCGCAGCGACGACGTCACGGTGCGGTCGATGAAGGGCAGGTACGCGGTGAGCGCGTCGAAGCCGTTGATGGGCGCGGCCGTGAGCTTGCGCAGCCGTCGGTGCTCGTCGTACGGCATCGCAATGAACGACTTGGGCCCGATCAGCGCCACCGTCGCCTTGGGCCACCCCGTCACGAACGCGTCGTCGTCCATCAGCACCTGCTTGCACGCCTCCGGCGTCGTCACCAGCACCGTCGGGCTGCTGAACATGAAGCCTCGGTACACGCCCGTGCGCCCGAACCTGCAGCACGTATCAGCAGCAATGGCGTCCAGGTCAGGTTAATTATTTGTTTGTTTGTTCAGCGCAACTGATTACTGATGATGAGCGAGCTCTCGCTCGTCAGACTGATCAAGAGCAGAGGCAAGAATGAATGATCCAGTCTTCTTCTTGTCCTCCTTCGTTTTCAATCACAGACAACTTGTGAACATGCATATGCAGCATCCTGAAACATCCCGCGCACATGTGCTAGATACATACTACATTTTGTACTGATGAAACAATCACTCGCCATTCATGAACATTGCGCAAGCAAAAGCAAAACAAGCGAATAATTTAATCCCTCAACTTGTGAGGACTCTGTTTCATTTTGAGCCATTCAGGGAAAACGGACAGCATCCATTCAGACTGCGTCGAGCAGCGACTGAGCAACACGTATGGGGTATGGGCCTCGGAACAGGAGGAATCTGAGCACTCCTAACAGAGATGCTACCTAAAGAGATATAGATATAGATGTTCAGAACATATTAGTGTATGCATCCAAGTAAAATATTGCAGACTGCTGAGCAGAGCAGCTGCACCGCTTGAAACTGAACAAAGCCAAGTCGCTTTGGATGGACCGACAGTGAGCGAAGAAGAATCGTGAGAGACAAAATTTAGTTTGGAGGACGATGGATGGGTTCCACAGAGCACGGCAGATCGATTAGATTAGATTAAACAACAACAATGTCTGATGCTTCCTTGGGCAAGATGAAAGCATGGAGATATGATAAGCAAAGCTGCTTTTGACAGCATATGGCTGGAAAATCAGGGCATCACTTGACAATAACAGAGCATTATACTCCTATATACTCCTACTACAGTCCTACTAGTGAGCACTACGTGTCTACTTATGCAGGAAGATTATGATTATTTGGGCAGTCAGGGGCCCCCCTGCCAAAGATGGAATCTCGCAATATAGTGTATGCTGAATGGTGGCATGGGAGAGTGGTGGCATTGCAATCAATCTGAAGGAGACATGTCTTTTGGGGGCAGTGGGGGCAGCGAAAGCAAGCATTCCTGCTCACGTCAGATCAGTGTCATCTCTCACTCATAACTGTCTGACTGACTGACTGACTGACTGACTGACTCTGATGACTGTACATGGTCTGAGCTGCTAAACCTGACCGAAACCACGACAGTGATTATTCACCGGCACCGGCACCGGCAGTGGTTTGTTACTGCTTTCCTCTCCTGTGGGACGTCGTTGTTCTACCCTGTCTCAGTCTGGTCTGGCTTTCTTTGATAATGGAGTATAATCGACGGCTCTCGTGCCTGGTCCGTTTAAAGGGTAACATAACATTAGTGAATTGCTTGCGATTGCAATGCATGCTTGCTCCCCTCCACACCCAAAACCAGGGATGGATTCGCATGCAGATACTGACTGTATGTTTCAAGTTTCATACATGCAAGAATGCATGTATCTGCAGACTGGTGCCTGATGAGTCTGAACAGTTTGAGTGAGGTTCATGGGTTGAAAAGTCCTCCGGCTCCTTGTGTTGGTGTAGTGTGATGATGCATGCATGCTTGGCTATGCATATGTATGGTGGTAAGATTTGATACTGATATCATCATAATCATATCATCACCAAAGTTAAAAGGGGGGCATCTTTTGTTCTTTTAATCTGGGTGCATACAGTAGTGTACCTAAAATAAAAGCATATATGTTTACCCATCATCAGTCTCCCTTTGATAGCATTGCACCGACTGGATTGCAGCAACGTTAATCTTGTGCCTTGTGTGTGTGTGCTCTAAGACAGTAGCTATCACGGTAATTAATTAATTAATTAATCCGTCAAGGCTCAAGAGAAGAGTGGACAGGAATTTTCAGTAACCGCTGTAAATTGCTGTGCAGGCTAGCTGTCTTCACTGCTAGTACTAGCTGACAGCTGTCAGCTACCACCCTGTTCGCTTGGCTTATAAGTTGTACTTTTTCAACTAACGAACAATATTTTTCTCTCACAACAAATCAACCAACAGTACTTTCAGCCATGGCTTATCAGCTAAGCGAACATGCAACGGTTGTCTCTTCCAGTGTTTGGTTGAGAGTAATTACTAGCTAGGAGGCGTAATTAGCGATACGAGAATTAACCACCCGGGGGGTAAATGGAAAGTATCGCGCGCTGGCTGTGGTTGGGCAGCTAAGCTACTCCCATCTCCAGGTGTCGAAGAGGACAATGACACGTGGGCCCCACCCGGCCCCGTCGCCCGTCCTCGGGATTAGCGCGAGGATTAGCGTACTGACTTACCGTCGGACGAAGGAGGCGATGAAGGCGTCGGGCTTGCCGGACTTGAAGGCACGGAGAAAGGCCCACATGCCGCCGACGACGGGCCACCCCATCTCCCCCGGCGGCAGCCGCGCGCGCCGCACCGCGCCCAGAGGCGCCTCCCTGTACCACCCGTGCGCCCTCCGCGCCGCGGCGTCCAGGAGCACCAACGCTGCGGCGCCGAGCAGCAGCGCCGCGGCCCACGACGGCAGCGCCGACGCCGCCTCCTCCACGCCGAGCATCCCCACCGACCGGACGATAGACGCGCGTGTGCGGTGAAATGTAATGATGGATGATGGCGCGCGCGCAGAGCGCTGTGCGTTTGTGAAGGGAGGAGAGACAGCCCAGGGCTGCACGCAGGCAGCGCCCCCTATATATAGGCAGACATCTTTCATATAGATTTTTGTTCTTATCTTAGACTAGACTGTCTCTGACAAAAACGACTAAAAACGATACACATTCACTAACGTAAGTCATATACAGTGAAAAGTCACGGACCCAAATCTCTGCCTTCTCCAACAGAGCCTGAGCAACCACACCACCGCCCCCCGCTAGATCTGCTCCGCCGCCACCGACACCCCCTCCTCGCCTTCCTCCGGCGAGGAGCTCGCCGGAGCAAGGCCGAGCGCCACAACCGACCCACCCCCCCACCCCAGACCCTGCTCCTCGCGGCGGCGCTGCCAGGCGCCCGCGGGTTCTACCTCCCGGGGAGCTACCCGCACAAGTACAACCCCGGCGACTACCTCAACGTAGATCCGGACGGGGGGCGCCGCGGCTGCGCCGGTGGCGGCGAGGGCGCGGGGCTTGAAGTGGAGGAAGGAGGAGCGGCGGGCGGCGTGGCGGAGAGGAAGAGGGCGAGGACGTGCGGGCGGAAGAAGTAGGCGTTGCGGCAGCTGGGGCAGAGGTTCAACGCCTGGTAGCCGGCGGCGGCGGTGGCGCCCGCGGTCGTCGGAGGGGGGCCCTGGTGGGAGAAGAGGATGTCCATGTGCTTGGAGTAGCGTGGGCAATGGGCCTCCGCGCGGATGCGGCGTGGCTCGGGCTCGTCGGTGGAGGAGGAGCTGCCCCCGGAGCCCGAGGAGGAGGACTCCCACTTGCGCTGCTCCTGGAGGCGCCGGTGCGGCGGCGGGGTGGACGGAGCTCACGCCGAAGCCCCCCTCAGCTCCCCCTCTCTGCTATGCTTTTGCGTCGTCGCGAGAGACGACGTTTTTTTGCCTATCGATTCGCCAGGTACCCAAAATGGCTGCTTTGGATGCATCCTCCGTTGGAGCGTGATTCTAAGACGCAAAACACTATGCATAACGCATTTTGCGTTTGGGTCACCCTTTGCCTACACCGTTGGAGACAGTCTTAGGGAGAAAATACTAGAGAAACTCTTCCATACAGAGTAAAACATACTAGTCCGCTTTTAATTAATTAATTAATTAAGATAATTAAAGTTCTTGGTAACGTATTTTGTTCTTGGACGTTTTATACTTTTTATATTATATAAATAAAAACCATCCAGCATGTATAAACGGAGCCGTTCATTTGGTGTATGTGCATATCTTAGCTTGTAGGCCGGATGTCTTGTAGTACTATGCACACGCAAGCGGCCGGCTTTGGATTTTAACTTGCTGTCAACCTTGCATGCCTAATAATAAGACAAGGACGACAACAATGTAAAAGTTAAAATAACACTCCATCCGTTTTAAATTATAAGACATTTTCGCATTTCTAGATACATCATTTTTCCTATGTACGTAGACATAGTGTATATCTAAGTACATAGAAAAAACTATGTATTTAAAAAAGTTAAAACATCTTACAATTTGAGGGTCCAACTTTCTTGGAGAGTCAAAAACATGTCAAATTTGACCAGATTTATATAATAAAATAATAGCATTTATGATATTAACTAAGTATTATCATTATATTCTTTATTAATTATATTTTCATATTATACCTATTTGATATCAAAAACTTTTGTAGTTTTGTTTATAATTTTGGTCAAACTTGATATGCTCCAAAAACAGTTGGAATGACTTATAATTTTGAATGAACATATATGAGTATTGAGTAAAGTACCAACATTCATATACGGAAACTCGTGTCGTCCTGGACTTATTAAGCTCCAATGTCATTATATGTCATTATGTTATAGTAGTGACTAATAAGAGTGTAATGATATGATTTTCCTGCTCTGCTAAACTGATTGACATATACAAGAGGCTGGATCTGGACAAGGGGAATCATGCGAAGATATGATCTGTTCTGAAAACCAAAAAGTCGCTTGTTGTTTTCCGGCACTTTTGAGAATCATCGAGGTGCTGCATCGATCGGTAAATACGAGTGACGGATGGAGACTTTAGCGTACAAAAGGTGACGAGCGACTGAGCGAGAGGCCAGTGCATTGCAACTCTTGGCGCATCATGTCGTCAGTCATGTACTAGTACTAGTAGTACGTTAAAAAAATTTGAATGGAGCTCAGAGCACAAACATACGGTACGTGAGCATAGCCTCGTACGTGTACGTGTCGGCACCTCGCACATTTGCCGGACCGGACGGGAGGTGCATGATATGTGTCAGATGTGTTCAAGTAACGAGACAGTGCAAATCCCACTACGGACAAAGTTCGTAAGCTGCAGTAGTTCATGGCTTCATGCATAAGTTTGTTGTCTCCTAGTGATATGCCACCGTCCGCTCAGATTATATAAATAGTTTTGTCTTTTCTATATACAAAGTTTTCACTATATACTTAGATAAACCAAAATGGTCTATAAATTGAAACAAAAAGAGTACATATATATAGTTTTCTACCCGGTTTCCTGTAAAAAAATAGACTGACTAATTTATTTTATTTCATTTTTACGTTAAAAAACTATTTTATTTTACCTTCTATTTTCTTTGTAATAAAACTCGTGTTAAAGTTTTTGATGTTATTTGGAAAATGATTCGAACTCCAATAACTTTGTTGAACTATTCCTACATGTACTATTATCCTATTATTAGACACTGCTTTTGTTAGGTGGATATAGCTTATACAACAACTACATTATAATTTTGGAAATTTTTAGAAGTCTAAGCCTTAGCATCGAGCCCTCCACGCGGCCAAGATCCCACCGCGCTAAGCTCACTGCAAAAGACCATGGAGATCTCAAGCTTTCTACTATAGAAACGGTTTTTGTGGACGTTAGCGATTCTTTTACTGGTGGCTTATAAAGAATAGGCACAAGTTGAAATAGAATTATGGACACATGGTTATAAAACCATATGTGTAATCCCATGGCTTGAGCCTATCCTGTTCAACTGCTAGATCTTTCCCTTCTTATACTACTATTTTATAAAAAAAATGCATATTTAAGCTCAAGAACAAACAACCCCATAGCTGGCCCTACCCTACCAAAAAAAGTGGCATCAAGATCATTTTGCTTATTTCTCCGTAACTAACTTTAGAGAAACTCCAAAAAACTCTTTATATACTTCCTTTTTGATAGGAATAAATATTTTGAGGAAAAAAGCACTCGGACAAATTTTTTAGTTAGATCTCTAAATATTGCTATCTTCTATTACTTGTTTCTCACTAGCCAAATGTGGAGAGCATAGATGGCTCTCAAAAGTGCACATAAGATAGAAAAACTGTTGCAATGTGTTAAGATACTGAGAACGATTCTTATTCAAATGACTCGCCAAATGAGCATTTTAGGGAACATTTTTGGAGGTACTACAAGAATGGTCGACATTTTTAATATGTGAATATCTAACTAAATAGGGGCTGTCAAGAATCCTGATATAAGAGATATCAATTTATTGTAAAATATAAATAAACATGGCATTGATCATTACCATGCAAACATTAATAGCATAATATAAGAAATAATATTACATGCATTTTTCATTCAAAAACTAGAAGAAGCATATGAAAACATAGATAATGTAGAGAATTATGTAAAACTTAATTGCACGCTATTTGGTTAAAGATGTCGTTAGTCCAATTCAGGACGGCTCAGTGATCCACATAGAGAAGGAAAATTAGTAGAAAAAGATAAACTTAGTATTCTCAATAAAAACATGAAATACATGTGTTGATTTTAAATAAAAAAAATTAGTGAAATGGAGAGGCCTCCATGGTCCATATATGTAAATAAACATATACTCCCTCCGTCTCAAAATAAGTGACGTTTTTTTACTTTTACACTTCTTGTTTGACCGTTCGTCATATTCAATTTTTTGTGTAAATAATAAAATAAATAAGTTAGTATTAAAGTATCTCTAATGATAGAATAAGTCATAACAAAATGAATAATATTTATATAAAAATTTTGAATAGGACGAATGATCAAACAAGAAATCCCAAAATAAAAAACGTAACTTATTTTGGGACGGATGGAGTAGTGAATAAAATTTATTAACGTTATGAACAATGTATATCATTTTGATAGTGTTATACTGCTATATTATACTAATACTAGCAAACATTCACGTGCGTTGCAATGGGAGAAAAAAAAGCTATCAAATGTCTAACCAGTTCGCTTCATCTTGTTGCACTACTTCAGCGCCCACGACACCTTAATTTGTATAGACAAACGAACGGGCTTGTTAATGTAAGCAAGGATCACAATGTTACTAATCTATTTATCTTTTTATCTATTTATAAAATTTAAAAACTATACTTTATTTCATGATAACCATGGCAACCATAATATAAGTTAATATTGGCAATAATACGACAATTTCCTATGAATTATGTATTGAATTAAAATACAATATTTATAGATTTTTTCTTTTATTATTGTAAGGCACAAAATATTTACTCGCAAATATATTATAACTTTAGTTTTCATTACTATCCATGTTTTGGTAGTTAGATATCAAGTTCTGTGACTTGTTTTAAGGATCCATAAGAATATGTAATTATAATATTTTATTAAAGTCAGCAAGGGGTTAGTTGTCATCATGTCTCGGTTTCCACGTGTCAGCCTTTATCGAAAGTGGCACTGGTATATGCAGACAACTTAGATATTTGCATTGGTATGTGTGGATAGCTTGGAGAAATATTTGTTTTGATTAGATTGGATGACAAACTGCTCAAGACTAGTTTACAGTTTAATAACTAGTTAAGCCATCGGCTAATTCTTGTCATAATTATAATTTATTTATATTTAAAACTAACTACTTAGTAATAGAAATATTTATTTATTAAGTAAGGATCAAAGTTTCAAAGACCCTAATACTGTATTTATTATTTATCTATTTTAGTAGGGAA